TCCAATAAAGAAAAGGCCAGTTCTAGAAAAGAAAACTGAAATGGGCAAAATTGTATCTTAATTCATTAAAGAAGTTTAAAATGAGTTTAAAAATAAGATATATTTTTCACTATAAATTGATAAAGATGAAAGAGCTGGATAAAACCTAGTGTTCAGGGGAGTATGAATTAACACATCTGAGAAGAAATCTAGCACTATATTCCAAAACTTAAAATAAATTTACTTTTATTAAAATTTCACTTCTATAAAGGTATTTTTGAAAAATAGAAGCAGACATTGCCAGTGGGAGTGTGTTAAGGTTTCAATCACTCTGGAAAACTGCTGGCAGGATCTACTAACAATGCAACGTGTATACCCTGTGCCCATGGGTGCTACCCTAGGTATCTTGTCATTGGTAGGTGCCATCAGGTCAATTTTCAACTCATAGTGACCCGAAGTGACAGAGTAGAACTGCCCCATAGGGTTTTCTAGACTGTAATCTTTACGGGAGCAGATCGCCAGGTCTTTTCTCCCACGAAGCCACTGCGTAGTTCTGAACCACCAACATTTCAGTTAGCAGCTGAGCAGTAAACCGCCAGGCCACCAGCGCTCCTTCCTAGGTATTTACCCAACAGATAAAAATAGCTACGTTCACCAAAACACTGTTCAGGAATGTTCACAGCCATATTATTTGTAATATCCAAAAACGAGAGACAATCTAACGTTCATCAACAATAGAAAGGAAAAACTGTGGTACAGTCACCCAATGGAATACCATACAGCAATTTTAAAAAGAATAAACTGACACATGTAGATGCATGGATCTCGCAGATACAGTATCGATGAAATATCGCAAAATAGTGAAAGAAACCAGACACAGAAAAGCACATACAATATGATTCCAATTACGTACATTCTAAACACAGGCTAAAGTAATGGTGTTAAAAACTGGAATACTGGTTACCCTATTGGGGGCTACGATAATTGGAAACGAGTATGAGGGGGATTTCTAAGGTACTAATCACACGGGAAAAGGGCCGTGCTGGCTTAAGCGCTCAGCAGCTAACCAAAAGGTTGGTGGTTCGAACCCACCCACCACTCTGTGGGAGAACGATGTGGCAGTCTGCCTTGGAAACCCTACGGGGCAGTTCTACTCTGTTCTATAGGGTCCCCATGAGTAGCAATTGACTTGATGTCAAGGGGTAATGCCAATCACACTAGTATGTTCCCTTTATCATAGAGCAATTAATTTGATTTGTGCACTTTTTGTGTTGGGCTGCCAAGGTCAGCAGTTCGAACCTACCAGCTGCTCAGAGGGAAAAAGATGTGGCAGTTTGCTTCCGAAAAGATTTACAGCCTTGGAAACCCTATTGGGCAGTTCTACTCTGTCCTACAGGGTCGATATGAGTCAGAATCGACTCAACGGAAATGGGGTGGGGTGCACTTTTTGTATATATGTTATTCTTCAATAAAAAGTTTACTACAAAATAAGAAAAGTACGTCTGATGCATACAAATAAAAAAACTGGCAACAACTTAAATACGCATCAATAGGAAACTGGTTAAATGAATTTACACATGTATAACCATTTATACACTAAGCTATTATCATGACCAGTTTCTATAAGTTGTATTCCTCCTTCCCCTCCCTACTGCCCTGCAATTCAACCAATGTGTGCTTCCGCTCGCCTTGGGGTATCCAAAAGAATTCAACTGAATACAGTAGGACAAATAAAAAGATATCGCAGTCATTACACAAAACTAAATAAACTCACAAGGATAATGAAAGAATGGAGTAGGGTAAAGGATTAAATGAGTTTAGCAACAGAAGAAGTCTTAAACTAATTATAAAAAATCCTTAGAAGCACCATTCTCCATCAGTCAAAATTAATTTGTATGAATTACATTGATCTATGGCAATTACTCTTAATCATCTAAAATGATGAGTTATCCACATGGGTGTCATTTCTGGAAAAATGAAGATATCTTTTCTATCCTTTATATACATTTTGTGATTTGTTTGGGATTTAATCCATGGTTGTATCTGCTTTCCAAAGAGTGTCCTTCACATTAAAACGAGATTAGAAATCAATGCTCAATACCTCCTCTTTTTCTGTGTCCCTTGTACAGCTCATATGCCAGATACACTAGGTCTGTCTTTAAATACACATCCTACT